GACTTTAAGATGGAATATTTTAAGTCATTAAATGTGATGTACCCCAGCTTTGAGCTACTTCCACTATATTAGGTTAGGAAGTTTCTATTTGCTTATATTTTTAAGTCCTGAGTGGATGAGTTTTATAAAAAGCTTGTCCTACATCTATTAAGATGGCAAGTGTTTCCCCCTCTTCCTATTATGGTTGATTACATAATTTTGAACCATCCTTGCATTCTGGGATAAACCTGAATTGGTCATGATTAGTAGTATCACTAATAATATACTTGCAGATTTAAAATATTTTATTTTTCAAATTTTGAATCTTCATTTACAAATAAACTATAATTTTTCTTGTTCTGTATATTCATAAGTGAGATTTTCAATTAATTATATTTATAATTTGGTTTTTGTCATTTTTGTTTTCATTTTTTGAAATAAATGTCTACATGTACTTCATGTGGTTATTGTTTTCTCCCTTCCATACTCTATTCCTTGGAAATGAACCACTAAGTCCAACTCACACTCAAGTGCTAGAGAAGTAGACTTCACTTTTTGGACAGAGAGGTGTCAAAGAATGTGTGGACATGCTTAAAATCCCCACAATGCGGGTAATGCATGTACAGATTATATGCTAAATACAGTGTTCTTTCTAACTTAAGAAAGCTATGATGCCAAAATGAATTTGAAATTGATTGTGATGTCTATATAATTTATGATTTTATCCAAAGTCTGATACTCTATCAAAAATAGCTTTGTAGTTATCAATTTACACACAGATATTTCATACTACCAGAGCTACAGAACACTTAAAACAAGCTGGTATTCAAACAAAAAATATACTTCAGCAAAGCAACACATTCTTTTTCTCTTCGCTGCTTGTCATAAATTAGATTTTAAATATAGTTGAGCCTTCTTGAACATGTGTTATAATTGACTGTAAGTATCCTGTGACAACATCAAACCTTTTCCAACAAGTCCTAAGTTTTGGGTTCATTTTGTCTAAACTCAACTGAAAATCTTTAATGAAAGAAAATGACATTTACCATACATCAGGGGAAGGAGCCAGGGAGATATCAGTACTTAGCAAATTTTGCAAAATAAGCAGTCTCATCTACTTCAAAAATTTGTAATTATTCGAAGATGACTGTGCTCAAAGTGATTTATCACGTGCTACTGCAAAAGGTACATTTGCATATCATGGTGAAGCATGATTTTTCACTAAGATGATTCTAAAATTATTTTCTAACAATTTTATTTCACATATGAAAAGCAATTACTGTTGATGCATTTAATTAGCAGAATTTTACAGTTACTTGATGCCAGTTTTATATCAATGTTGTCAGATATGTCAAAAGAAATCAATCTTTTCATCCAATTCAAGGAAGAAATAAACCCTTTGAAAATTTTATTTTGAAAGTGAAACATCTGACAATATTATGCCCCATGTTACAAGTTAAAAGCCCAATATTAAATAGCCATTTCTAATGGTTGTATTAATTATCTATTACTGTGTAACAAATCACCAGATAGAAGCTATTGACCTTGAAGAAGTCACTGACTCCCTGGTACTTTTTGGGAAAAAAGTAATAACCTTCCACTCCAGAAAAATATTATACATTCTGATGACATGAGGAAAATAAAACATATATAAAAGAAGGAATGGGCCTGTGATGTAAGTTAAAATTATAGCTTACATTTTAAGTTCTCACTAAATTATCTTTTTAGCCATGAGTATTAGGCTAGGTGATCTCTAAGTTCTCTTCTAAATTACACAATTTCTCTTTATTTTAGGCCAGGCATGGTGGTTCATGCCTGTAATCTCTACTTCGGTAGGCCTAGGTGGGCGGATCACTTAAGGTCAGGAGTGCAAGACCAGCCTGGCCAACATGGTGAAACTCCATTTCTACTAAAAATATAAAGAAAAAAAAAAATTAGCCCTGCGTGGTGGCGCATGCCTGTAATTCCAGCTACTAGTGTGGCTGAGGCGGGAGAATCATTTGAACTCAGAGGCTGCAGTGAGCCGAGTTCACGCCACTGCAATTCATCCAGCCTGGGTGACAGAGTGAGACGACTCCATCTCAAAAAAAAACCAAAACAAAAACTTCCTCTATTTTATTCCAGCTCTAAAATTCTGGTATTTCTGTATCAAATATTGCTTTCTAAAATCAAACTATAAAGACTTTGGAAACCATAGCTGTGCCTCAGACATGCCTTCACCTCTCATAGAATCTACATTTCTTTGCACAGAAGGTTTTGTCATACACAGAGTAGACACTGACACACTGATTGATCGCTCAGTATTTTAGTCTCTGGATTTCTCCATATTCACTTAATTATTTCAATAATTGACATTACCCACAACCAACCAAAGGTGATACTTCTGGCAAGTGGAAGCATGAGAGTGCTATTTCTTACCGACATTCATTTACCCCTTTACATATAAACCATTCATTTATCCTCTTCATTTGTTGAGCACTGGAGTGCCATCTATTTTACATGACTTTTTGCAGTTATTATACCTATTCATAATTATTCCTGGCATATGTTGCTTAATGATGGAGATATGTTCTGAGAAATGTGACATTAGACCATTTTGTCACTGTGCAAATATCATAGAGTATATTTACACAAACATTGATGGTATATGTATACATATATATTTAATTTATACATATTTTTCATATGGAAAACCAAATATCTCAGAACCTTAAATGAATTATCAGTCATTCCCCTACTTATTCTGCAGAGCCAATATCAAGTGTTACATATCAAGTTTCTATTTATGTTCCATTATAACCTTATGGGACCATTGTCTTACATGCGGTCATTGTTGGCTGAAACATCGTTATGCGGCACATGACTGTACTTGTGTTAAATAATTATTTTGGCTATAAGACTTGGCGCAGAGGAATTTCTGGGGAATAATAATCAACTGCAAGAAATTGGTTACCCAAAACAAGCTGGTCATTAATTTTGTTGAAATGTCAAAAGCTCATATCTGAAAAGGGTGGGGAAAATAAGCAAATAGGTAATTTTAATAGGTAGCACACTGTTACTGCTGCTCACATGAAGACGCTAATAAATGTTCACAATCCAACCACAATAGCTTCTTAGCATTCCATCCAATAGAGCAAGGAATCTTTATTAACTTCTGAGAAGCTCTCACATCCAGAAATTATTTGAAGTGTTTCCACCTGATTTAGGGTTTAATTAGGTTTTTTAGTTTAGTTTTTTTGTGTTAGTTTCTTGGGGGGTTTTGGGATTTTGGTTTTTGGGTTTGTTTGGTTTTTCTTTTTGTTTTGGTGTCACATAAGTATTTCAATTTTGCACGACAATGTTATGGACTAGAAAGGGAATCTGCAACAGACTATTCAAGTTATGGTCTTGGTAATTCCAGACAGAAGCTATTGACCTTGAAGAAGTCACTGACCCCCTGGTACTTTTTGAGAAAATAGGAGTAATAACCTTCCACTCCAGAAAAATATTATACATTCTGATGACATGAAGAATGTTTACATATTTGTCTTCCTCAGAATACACCCTGTAAAGGCATAATGTTATATCTAAAAACTGTATTTTTAGTGGCAAAGTCTTGCACTTATGTACCAATTAAGTCTCTGAGGATAATTAAGTTTGTTATAAATATACTGGTAGAGACAAAGGCCACTAAGATTCTAGTGAAGTCACAGATGCAAATCAAAAACTGTGGGCAGCAAGCTAATGATTAGAGTGCTGGTGTGTACAGCATAAGGCTTGATGGGTAAGTTTAACTTCTACAAGAAACATATTCTAACAAATATAATTTTTCTTAACCAACATAATAAGAAAATATACTTTTTAAAACCAACAAACAAGGATGGCAAGCACACAGGTTGCTTTACACAGCCACATTTAAAGTCAGAACATCCAAAATTAAGTCAGTGGTCTTTGGAACTATTAAATCAAATCTCTTATGATTACAGCAAAGCTCTTTTCCATTTGTAACAAACAAACTTGGAAAAAACTCAATTATATTACAAATAGAAACTAGCTACGGATAGATATAATTTAAATGTTATGACAACCAGTTCTTCATTAAACTGCTGCCACTTGCAGCTGCTAGATTCAGTTATAATTTCGAATTAGGGCTGAATTAAGTATGAGGGTTATAATTTTCTTTCTTTTTTTTTTTTTAGAGGGGGGGTTATAATTTTCTATTGCCAACCTGTATGCCAATAATAATAATTATTATAACAACAACGATAATAGCAGAAGTAGGTAACATTTACAGAGTGCTTACAATGTGCCAAGATTTTATCTAAATATTTTACTTAATCCCCAGAACTACTCTATGAGGTGGGTACTATTGTGATATTCACTCAACAAATGAGAAAATGACAGTTTAAAGACATTAAGGGCCAGGCATGGTGACTCACCCCTGTAATTCCAGCATTTCGGAAGGCTGAGGCAGAGGATCACCTAAGTCCAGGAATCGGAGACCAGCCTAGGCAACATAGTGAGTCCTTGTCTCTACAAAAAAGTTTTAAAATTAGCTGGGCATGGCAGTGGCTTGCCTATAGTTCCAGCTACTCTGGAGGTTGAGGTGTGAGGATGTCTTGAACACAGGAGTTCAAGCGTGGGGTGAGCGATGATCAAGCCACTGCATTTCAGCCTGGGTAACAGAGTAAGACCGTGTCTCAAAAAAAAAAAAAAAAAAAAACAGGTAAGGCCACAGAGCTAGGAAGAGGTAGACTCTTAAACAACTCATACCCTTAAGGGCCAAACCAAGTCAAAGGGCCAGGCATGGTAGCTCATACCTGTAATTCCAGCACATTGAGAAGCTGAGGCAGGAGGATTGCTTGAACTCAGAAGTTCAAGATCAGCCTGGGCAACATAGTGAGACCGCATCTCTACAAAAAATATTAAAAATTAGCCAAACATGGTGATGCGTGCCTGTAGTACCGTTTACTCGGGAGGCTGAGGCAAGCGGATTGCTTGAGCACAGGAGGTTGAGGCTTCAGTGAGCTGTGATTGTGCCACTGCACTCCAGCCTGGGCAACACTGGCAACACAGCAAGACCCTGTCTCAAACAAAAACAAACACAAAACAAAGGGTACAAAGTTTCAGTCACATAGTATGAGTAAGTTCTGGATATCTATTCAACAGCATGGTGATTATAGTTAGTCATGATGTATTGTAGACTTGAAATTTGCTAAGACAGTAGATAAGTGTTCTCACCACACACACATAAAATAACTATGTGAAGTGATGGATATGTTAGTTTGATTCAATAATTTCACAATGTATACATATACCAAAATACCACATTGTATACCATTTAAAATATTAAATAAGACAAAAACTAAATATATAAATAAAATTTAACCAATAAAGCAAATGAGTTAAAGCACTTGTACCTCTCATCATTCTATAGCCTGATGTTCCTGAAATGCTCTCTCTTCATAACAGAATTTCATGTGATTGTGTTTTTAATGGAGCATTCTGCCTACTTGATACGGGGTCATCACATGTTTCTTTCCACAAAATACTACTTTCTGATCTCTTTCTCATCACCGTACTGCCTTCCTTTATCTCTCTTTCCTTTATTGCTTTTATCTATTATTTCTTTCCTTAACCTATCCCCATTTTCCCAACTTTTATCCCATTTTCCTCGTCCATGCAATTAGCTTGTCAGGAACATGCAGCATATCCCAAAACTCCAGAAAGGCAATTCTCAGGGCTCCAGAGGGTGGTAGTCCTCGAGTCAGAAATGAGAGACCAGGAACAGAGGCTGGGAAAACAGAACTGTTTCCCCTCCTGCTTATTTTGTTTTGAAAATTGCTTCTAGCTCCCATTTATCTTAGTGTAATTATCAAAATAAGAATAGCACCTGTTTCACATAAAATTAATGGGTTTTGTGTAAATTTATTTGCATTTGGGGGTAGAATATTCTGAAAAAAAATAGAAATTGAGATCAAATGTTCATTTATTTTGGCTCTTACCTTTTAGGAGGTAAGTGGTTATGATCTCATTTAAGCTTAATTACTTCCTTAGAGGCCCATCTCCAAATATAGACACATTGAAGATGTTAGGGCTTCTGAGTATGAATTTTGGAGGGATACATTCAGTTCATAACACACAACTTAATTTTTTTTAAAGAGTGAAATCATTTTTTAAAATGATGGAAAAAGCTAAAATATGCTAAATATAAATCCAAAAAAACTTAGTGTTACGGACTGAATTTGTCCCTGCAAAATTCGTATGTTGAAATCCTCGCCCCCAGTGTGATGGTAGTAGGAGGTGGGGTCTTTCGTAGGTAATTTAGCACAACAAGGTGGAATCCTCATGAGGAGAATGTTTGCCTTTACAAAGGGATCCAAGAGAGCTGTAACCTGTAAGAGAGCCCTCCCTCCAACCCAACCATGCTGGCACCCTGAACTCAGACTTCCAGCCTCCAGAACTACAAAGAGTAAATTTCTGTTGCTTAGAGGCCACTCAGTCTATGGTTCTTTGTTACAGCAGACAAAACTGACTCAGACACCTGCTATACCTATACTAACATCACACAAAATAGGTGTTCAGGTAAAAAGTTTTACTAAAGACAAAAAGGAACATTTCCACAATGATAAAAATTCAATTCACCAGGAAGATATAATTATTTTAAATTTGGTCACCTACTAGTATAAGTTTGAACTCTATAATGCAAAAATTGAAACAGCTAAAAAAAAAAAAGAATTATCCACAATCATAGTGGGAGACTTCAACACACCTCTCTTTGTAACTGACGGAACAAGCAGACAAAATAGATAAGTAAGGGCATAGAAATTTCAAACAATGTGGAAGTCATCTTTAAGGGCTAGGACCAAAACAAAGAAAAAGATTTAAATGTCCATATATATTATAGAGGCAGTAGCTATAGTGGCATATATTATCTTTATTTTCAGTTACAATTTCATTTTATAGAAGAAGAAATCAAGGCTCAGAGAGGTAAAATAACCTTATACAGTCCAAGTGGTAGAGCCAGAAAATTCATTGTGTTTTAAAAGTTTAGTAGAACTCACCAGTGAAACCATCTGGGTGGGCTTTTCTTTGAGAGGGGAAGTTCTTGACTATCATTTCAATTTCCCACTTTTAATTGAATAGATTGACATTTTTTCTCTGGGCTTATTTATTTTTGAGATGGAGTCTCACTCTGTTGCCCAGGCTGTAGTGCAGTGGTGTGATCTTGGCTAACTGCAACCTCCGCCTACTGGGTTCAGGCAATTCTCCTGCCTCTTTTTGTATTTTTAGTAGAGACAGAGTTTCGCCGTGTTGACCAGGCTGGTTGTGAACTCCTGACCTCAGGTGATCCACTGGCCTTGGCCTCCCAAAGTGCTGGGATTACAGGCGTGAGCCACTATACCTGGCTATATTTACTTTCTTCTATTGAGTTCTTACATTTTTCAATGCCCTTATTTCCCCTAACTAAATAATTTAGTGGGCTTTATGTCACTTCGAAATGAAATCGTAACTGAAAATAAAGTGCTTAGCACAGTGCCTGGGTAGAAAGCATCCAGTAAATACTGTCATTTCTGCTACTTTTACTACTATTACGATTGCTATGTCTACTACTATTACTGATGCATCTTTAGAGTCTCCTGAGTCTCTGACAGCTACTGACATTGGGGCAAAGATAAGTCTATCAATATTTTTGAACTTGACTTATGGAAATAGATACTAGCTCTTGCAGGCATAAGAAATGTTTCTCAGCATGATGAAATCTGGAGAAAAAAGTTTGAATTAATTCCTAAGAAATCAGAAGTAATATTCGGTGGCACTGCTAATGGAGCTGAATGCATTAGAAAATGTCAGTTATAAAAACTGACTGATCTGGGTGTGAGATGAGTCCAGTTACAGTACTGCCCAGTTACAGTAAGTTAGAAAGAGGAACAGGATGGGAAGAGTTCATTCTTGTCCGTGACCTACTGGCAGGAATAACGAATGACATTGCTAACTAGGTGCCTACTCCAAGCCCCCACATCTTTGCTTCTGTTTAGTACAGAGCAAATTTCAATAGGAAGTTTGGCTTTGCATATAGTCACTGCTCAAAAAAATGTTTATCAATTTGTCAATTTTGGTCTGTCAATTTAGCAATTTCAATAGCTTTGTCAACTTACCAATTAGGTCATTCATGATTTGTCAGTCTTCTTCAGATAGCCAACATTTTCCAAATTAACTTCTTTACTAATATCAGATCCTCAGAAAGTGAAATTCACACCAGGGGTTTGTGTTCCTTATTATAAACAAATAAAAGAAAATTTGCATTATAATCACTCTACAAAAACATCATGACCAAACTACCTTTCCAGAAGCTTGACTTGAAAATTTAGTATTTATTGAGAACAAGAGAGATGAACACCTGAACAGGCTGGAAAACATATGAGGATAAATGCCTGAGTTCACATCAAAATGTTTGGCAAGAGAAAGAATCTTAGTGTGAAATATACAGAAATTTTGGTTATAAATTTTCCCACCAAAGTTTCACTTCAAAAAACAAACAGTGCAGACTAGTCATTGTTTCAGAATGGAAAAAGAGTGTACCTTAGGAACTAGTTCAGGAGGATATTTTAGTTCTCTTGCTTTGTTTTTTCAATCAATCATGTGACTATTTTGTGTATTTCCTTTCCTTGGGGAAATATTCTAACTCTGATCCAATGTTTCTTAAAAACTCTTTCATTGTGTGCAAAATATCTTTGGTTAGTGAATTTACAAAATGTTCTTAACCTCAGAAAAAATAAATAAGTTAGAAAAAATTAAAATAAGTCCAAATCATTAAGTACATTTTTTGAAATCCCTCAAGTGTAGGAAAAATGTAGGTGGAACAGAACAACAGTCAGGCTTGGGCCAGAACCTAGGAAATCTCTGAAGATGTCAAAAATGATTTCATATGAAGAGTTGTGTTCTTTTTTACTTTAGGACTTCTTCAAAAGCAGAGGAAAGGTTGGAGAAAAACATGAAAAAGAAAAGCCTATCTGAATTCAAGGTTTGGCATGAATACTTTCCCAAGCCCAACCAGCTTACCATCAATGATAATTCAATTTCAATCAAATCAAAGAGAAGGTGCCATGCTAGGTGCTAAGCTTGTATAGAAATATGAACAAGACTGTATGCTCACCCACACAAGCTGTTTAAGATGATGAAGCTGGGTGAAAGATGAAAGATAATAACTATAATATTTTATGAGATTATAATATAATAACATTATGGAGAGGATTTTCAAGCCAACTTCTCCCAGAAGTCTAAGTGAGAAGAAGAGGTCTACTTCTCACCTGTTCAAATCCTTCCTATCCCTCAAGGGCAGCTTTAATCCCACATCTGGTTTAGACTCTCCAAAACTTTCCAGCTCGTTGTTGTTTATATCACAGAGGTGAGGCCATTATAAACACCTCTTGATTTGGGTTATAAAAACAGGTAAGGAGTGTATTTTACTCTGAGGGAGAAGACAGCATAGTATTCAGAGGCAACAGAACACAGTGGCCAAGAGAACAGATTTCAGGGCCAGCTGACTTTGCTACAAATCCTAGGATCACCACTGGGGAACACTGGAAAAGTTAATCTTTCTAAGCCTCGGTTTCCCCATCTTCAAAATGGAAACATTAATAGTTCCTACCTCATGGAATTGTGAGAATCAAATGAGGCAGCAACTGTACTTAAAATACTAGGGGACAAACTGGGCACGGTGGCTCACATCTGTAATCCCAGCACTTTGGGAGGCTGAAGTAGGCAGATCACTTGAGGTCAGGAGTTCAAGACCAGCCTAGCTAATATGGTGAAACCCCATCTCTACTAAAAATAACAAAAATTATCTGGGCGTGGTGGTGCACACTTGTAATCCCAGTTACTTAGGTGGCTGAGGCAGGAGAATCACTTGAACCCAGGAAGCAGAGTCTGCAGTGAGCTGTGATCGTGCCATTGCCCTCCAGCCTGGGCAACAGAGCAAGGCTCCGTCTAAAAAAATAAAAAATAAAAAACACTAGGGGGCACAGTCAAGCACTGTGGCACATGCCTGTAATCCCACTTACTTGGAAGGCCAAGATGGGAAGATCAGCTTAGCCCAGGAGTTTGAGTCCAGCCTGAGCAGCACAGCAAGACCCCATCTCTAAAGAAAAAAAGGAGGGATGGGGGAATAAATATTAGACATATAAATGTTTGTTGGTTATGACTAATGTTCATCCATACATTCCACAAATGTTCCTTAGGTGCCTTTTCTCTGCAAGATGCTGTTCTGGGCACGAGATCCCAACAGTGGATAAAACAGACAAAGTTCCAGACCTCACGGAGTCTCCATTCATATGTCAACTGGAAAACAAGCTCTATGGGGAAAGAAAGCATATAAAATATCGTTTTGTATTTCCTATGGTGCTTTACACAAAATAGACAACAAGAGTCTGTGAAGGAATTCTAAGTGGAAGAAGGAAGACATGCTTGGAAAATCTTGCACTCCTGAGCAAAGACAAAAATTATGTGAACAAACCATCTGTATTCTATGAAGGTCTTCTAGAATCTAGTCCTTTAGTATTTCATAAAATTCAACTCCTTGGTAATTTAAAATAGAATGGATTACACAAAGTTTCCACTGCACCATGCCATGCTTTGCTCACATGGCGGAGGAGTGCATGGCATGAAAAACATTTCTGGATTGTGACGCTCAGCCAGATGAGCTCAGGTTACTTGTGTTTCATGGCCTTTCAGTCTGGAGCTTGACTACCAGTTGGAAGCCTTGGATTGACTCCTTGATCTTAGAGCTACAGGAGGTTAGCCATGTGGCCAGACTGACTGCAGGAGGCCAGGGAGGCTCAGGGATGCCTAGCTAAGGAGTTTCACTTCTTTAAGACTTGTGTTACTATTAAAACACATTCCTCTAGGACAGTTAGTAATGTGGGCTATTAACAGTTATTCAGTCTTCACAGAAATAAGGACCAGATATATTCTCTTTTTTTAAAAAAAGAACTTTGGCCAGGCATGGTGGTTCACACCTGTAATCCCAGCACTTTGGGAGGCCAAGGCGGGCAGATCACTTGAGGTCAGGAGTTCGAGACCAGCCTGACCAACATAGTGAAATCCCGTCTCTAGTTAAAAAACAAACAAGAAAAATTAGCCAGGCATTGTGACACATGCCTATAGTCCCAGCTACCTAGGAAGCTGAGACAGGAGAATAGCTTGAACCCAGGAGATAGAGGTTGCAGTGAGCTGAGATAGCGCCACTGCACTCCAGCCTGGGTGACAGAGTGAGACTCTGTCTCAAAAAAAAAAAAAAAAAGAAATTCAGCCTAATAATAAAAATAGTTTTGTTCATTGTAGGCAAACTGGAAGCTATAACTTTAGCTACATCCACAGTCTTAAGAGCAAGTTTTTGGAATTGTAGAATAACTTAGAGGTAGCTTGAAAAAACACTGGCCTCGGAAGTCAAGAGACCTGAGTTCTAGTTTTGACTAAGTAAGCTGACTGAACTTAAACAACGGAAATAATTCTCAAGCCCCAGTTCCCACATCTGTAAAATGAGAGTTCTTAGGTGCCCCATCATCATTTTTTTTAGTACTTATGAAATAATTATCCATCATATATCCACCTCTTTCATACAATATTTAGAACAATGACCTTGTATGATAGTGTCTTAGTGTGTTTTGTGCTAGTACAACAAAATACTTGAAACTGGGTAATTTATAAAGAAGAGAATTTTATGTTCTCACAGTTCTAGGGATTGGGAAGTCCAAGATCAAGGCACCAACATTTGGTGTCTGACGAGGGCTTTTTTGCTGTGTCCTTATATGGGGGACGTCAGACGGTCAAGAGAGACTAACTCCCTCCATCAAGTCCTAGTTTGATAGCATTAATCTATTTATAAAGGCAGAGCCCTCACGACCTAAACACCTCCCAAAGAGACTCACCTTTCAGCACTGGTGCACTGGGGATTAAGTTTTTAATACACGAATTTGGGGGAACACATTCAGACCATAGCAGATAGTTACATTTGGCATTGAGGAGATTAAAGCTCAAAGAAGCTCACTTATTTACCCAAGGCCATAGGCTAAGGGGCAAAGGTGCGATTTAAGGTTATCTGCCAACTAAATAACATCCTCTTCCTCCCAAAGCACAGCTGGTTTTAATTTGCTAGTATATGAAATACCTCTGAGTTTGAAAAGAAAGAATGACTCTGACAAAAAAAAAATCTCATTGCCTACTTGACCCTTTTGCTTAAGATTCACTCCACTCTGTTACTTACCTAGTGTGTAGGGCAATTTCTTTATGTTTACATTTCTGCCGTGAATAGTTTACAAAGTTAAGTCTTACCTGGAGAGGGTATCTGAGTTTCATGGAATGGATATTCAGAAGATTTGCTCTCAAATAACAGGGATCTTTATCTTCTTTCCACTTGTGTTTCAATGACTGTGAAGAAGTGTAATCAGAAAGTAAGATGGCATGCAGATCTAACTTACCCATAACAAACTCTCAAAGACTGTCAGGCATATCATTCATTATACCCTAGCAAAAAGAAGTTGTCCACCCATTCCCCTCACTGAAGGGCAGCCTTCTCAATGAACATCTTTAATTGGATTAGGAGTAAAGACCTGTCTGTCCCATCACCAGCCAATCCATAAACTAGTGATTGGGCTAAAATGTGACCTGGCCAATAAGTCTGTGCTCAAACAGGCCAGAATTGTGAAATACAGAAAACACAAGCCCTCTGGTGGACAGGGGAGCACAGAGAAGATAACAGATGCATAGTGTCTTCACATTAACACTGGGCGCTCGGAGTGAAATTAATGGACTTCTACTTCTGAGGATCCCAAACTTGTGTTGTGTTCCAAATGACTTCCCCTAGAAATTGTTCTATTACAAATCCTGTTCTTGGATTTCTAAGAGATAATCTTTCTCAAATATAAATATAAATATATATATGTGTGTGTGTGTGTGTACCTAAACATATATATCATACTGATACATTAAAATTCTTTTAATTGTTGGAATTGGTGACTATTCTTTAAAAGCAAAAGAGCTGAATAAACCTCTGTACAACTATTTTGTTAAACTATATACTGTAATTCTACTCTGTCAAATAACACTGAAATTAGTAGGGATTTGGCACCTGGTCTGCCAGTTCCAAGGCCTGCTTTATAATTGCTGCATTACACCACCTGAAATTATTTTTGCTACTCCAACTGGCTCAATTATACTCATTTAGATCAGAAGAATTCAGTAGGACTTTCCAGTAAGAGATATCTAGTACCTGACTTACCTCTCATCTTAAAGACTACCATTTTCTAAGACCAATTCCATATTCTCTGGGGGGGTGAATTTTAAGCATTTGGTTTTAATCCATCTGTAACTTCTATACCACGAAGAAGCTGAAATCTTTTAAGTATGATGAAACTATATGTAAAGATATGTGGTATTGATTATTTATAAAAGCAATGACTACTCTTCCAGTAGGGCAAACAAGCTTCTTCTCTTTAGAGGCTTCTTTGCTCACCTAATGAAGTCTGGCCAGTAAAGTTGAGCCAGAGGGTGTCTAACCTCTGACCTATTGAAGGCACTCAGCCTTGTTGTTTTTGCTTCCATCAGCAGTAATGAGTTCTGCATGCCTTAGAAAAGAACAAAGCACTTGGTTATTTCCCAGATTTTCACTCTCAATGTTCCTACCCCATCTAGCTCATCTGATGCTTGGAGGAATCCTTCTTCACACATTTAAATTTAATGTTAGCATTTCCTTCATTGACTCATTAACTGCCCTCTGGTGCAGGTTAACCAATGACCCTAAAAGAGGTCTCCAGTTTCTCTGCAAGGCTGATGAGCAATTCTCACCCTGCACTTCAGCCAACAAAAATGTTGTGCCATTTTACAAGCAGCAGAAATCCCAGAAGGCCACACAGTTCCATGGCCTGATATACGCAGAAGAATAATAAAAATTTTATGGCTCTGGGGAAACCAATCAATCCCAGGAGTGCCCCAAGGCAGGTAAAGCTGGTGTGTCCTCACTCAGCCTCCTGCCTTGACAACTTTACCCGAGAACACTTAGACTTGCAGGGCATGGTCTGTAAAACATAAAAACAGCCCTGGATTTGAGATAAACATATGCACCAGATTCTGCCTATATGCATTCATAGCTAACTGTATCTTATCTTAGAAATAAGGGCAATTGTTTATTTGAAGCATGAAACCTAAGTTAATGAATGGGATATTTTCGTATTCTTGCAAAGCCAAGAAATATACATTCTACTGCCCACTGGGAAAAAAACAGGATATTTGCCAATGGAAGTCCAGTTAGGATATTAGCCTCTGATAGCAGCTGACTTCCATCTTATCCAAGCGCTCTTTCAAAAGTTTTCCCTACGTTCTGATAACTTTTCTCTCTCTTTTTCCTTTCTTTTTTTTTTTTTTTTTTTTTGAGACAGGGTCTCACTCTGTCTCCCAGGCTGAAGTGCAGTGGCGTGACCATGGCTCACTCAATCAATCCTCCCACCTCACCTCCCGAGTAGCTGGGACTACGGGCACGCACCACCACATCCGGCTAATTTTTTTGTGTTTTTTTGTAGAGACGGAGTTTTGCCATGTTACCCAGGCTGGTCTCAAATTCCTGGGCTCAAGCAATCCACCTGGCCCTGATAACCTTTCTGTATATATATACATATATCAAAATGATAAATGTACATGGATTTTTCAGGAAGTGGGAAAACTTTTCAGAGGTTACTATTTCACTAAAACCCCGTAAGTGGTCAATACTTACATCAATTAGTAGACGCAGCCCCTAGATGAGTGTGGCAGCCTCTACAAAATAAAGTAAAAAACTGGTGATGGGTTGGGGGAGGGATGATCCAAGTAATTTAAAGAGAAATCCTTCCACTAATAATCATTTATGACACTTATTTACTTATTGAAATTATAAAGTTTGTACAAACTTTCTGTTTTTCTTTTTCTTTTCTTTTTTTCTTTTTTGGAGACAAACTCTTGCTCTGTCTCCCAGGCTGGAGTGCAGTGGCTCAATCTCAGCTCACTGCAACCTTCTGTCTCCTGGGCTCAAGTAATACTCCTACCTCAGCCTCCCAAGTAGCTGGGATTGCAGGCATGCACTACCACACCCAGCTCATTTTTGCACTTTTAGTAGAGACAGGATTTTGTCACGTTGGCCAGGCTGGTCTCGAACTGCTCGCCTCTAGCCTCACCCACCTCAACCTCCCAAAGTACTGCGATTACAGGTGCAAACCACTATGCCCAGAACACATTTTCTTAATATATATTTTTTCATGCTGAGTGTCAAACCATGAGCCTCATGTCCTAGGTGATATTTAGTATTCCCAAAATGGTATAGAGTGTGCAGAAGGCTTTTGTCTTTTACCAAACACACATCACTTTGCTTTTGCATATATATATATACACACACACACACACACACACGCCTAATATACACATATATGGTTTTTTCCCACACTGAACTCTAAGTGATCGCCATGCAAAGCATAATTGCTTTTGGATCTTGTTTAATTTCCTAAGAAGGAAGTTTCCTTCTAGGAAGCTGCACTGGCTAGATGCCTTCATGAAACACTAACAGGATTTCAAAAGAAATTTGTTTCTTCGGAAAGAGAAAGAGGTGTCCATGAAACCTTTGTGAGAAGACAAAAACACTTAAGTGATTAAAAACTACTCATGGTCTGCAGGTAAAAAGGCATATGTATCCCAAATGCTGAAACCATCGTACTTCTTCTATTCACACCCCTAAACCGTGCAGAAGTTTGCCGGGAGGTGAGGACTCCAACAGCTGTGGAGAAACGTTTCTCTTTCCTCTCAGCTTGCACACATCATGGCGGTTGCCGCCCAGCAGCCTCCTCAGCCTGGCGGCGGGAAGCGCAGAGGCAAGGCTCAGTATGTGCTGGCCAAGTGGGCTCGGCGCTGCGACTCTGGCGGACCCAGTCAGCTATAGCCCAGGTTATGGGGCATCCTCATCACCTGCAACATGAACCAGCCCAAGTGTGTAGAGGAGGCCTACACCCTACTCAACGAATATGGCGACAACACGTATAGGCTGGAAAAGTTTACAGACAAGGATCAGAAGCCCCCTGGAAGTGAGGGAGAAGATGATGATGTGGAGGCTGCCTTGAAGAAAGAAGTTGGTGACATGAAGGCATCTACAGAGATAAGCCTAAGAAGATTCCAGTTAGTGGAAAGTGGAGCAAATAACATTGTCTTCATCAGGACACTCGGGATAGAACCTGATAAATTGGTGCATCATATTCTCCAGGATGTGTACAAAACCAAGAAGACTCAAGTTATTCTACAAATGTTACCCATCTCAGGCACATGCAAGGCTTTTTTAGAGGATATGAAAAAATATGCAGAAACATTTTTGGAACCCTAGTTTAAAGCTCCAAGCAAAGGGACGTTTCAGATTGTGTACAAATCTCAAAATAGCAGTCATGAGAGGTGAACCCAGCCGGACTTCCTGGGTCCAGTGGGGACTTGGAGAACCAGTCGGTCTTACAAGGGGACTGTAAAATGCACCAATCAGCGCTCTGTAGCTAGCAAGAGGTTTGTAAAATGAACCAATCAACACTCTGTAAAAATGCACCAATCAATGCTCTGTAGCTAGCAAGAGGTGTGTAAAATGGACCAGTCAGCAGGATTCTAAAAGTAACCAATCATTGTGAGGATTGAGAAAAGGGCATTCTGATAGGACAGAAACAGGACATGGGAGGGGACAAATAAGAGAATAAAAGTTGGCTACCCCAGCCAGCAGTGGCAACCCACTTGGTCCCCTCACATGCTGTGGAAGCTCTGTTCTTTCACTCTTCACAATAAAATCTTGCTGCTGCTCACTCTTTGGGTCCATGCCACCTTTAAGGGCTGTAACACTCACCGGGAAGGCCCGTGGCTTCATTCTTGAAGTCAGTGAGATCACGAACCCACCAGAAGGAACCAACTCCGGACACAGTCACATGAATAGAGAAGTTATCAAAGAATTGGGAGGAATAGTGTGTACCCTCAATTCAGAAAATAAACTGGATCTCACCAATCCACAGTACATGGTGGTAGTAGAAATCATCAAAGCTGTCTGTTGCCTGAGTGTCGTGAAAGATTACATATTTAGAAAATACAATTTCCGGTTGGGCGCAGTGGCTCATACCTGTAATCCCAACACTTTGGGAGGCCAAGGACGTGGGCAGATCACGAGGACAAGAGATCAAGACCATCCTGGCCAACACGGTGAAACCCCATCTCCACTAAAAATTAAAAAATTAGCTGGGCATGGTGGTGCGGGCCTGTAGTCTTAGCTACTTGGGAGGAGGCTGAGGTAGGAGAATCGCTTGAATCCGGGGGGCTTAGGTTGCAGTGAGCTGAGGTGGGAGATGGTGCCATTGCACTCCAGCCTGGCAACAGAGCATTCAAAAAAAAAAAAAAAGAAAGAAAAAGAAAATTCAGTCTCCAGGAGGTGATAAAGAACTCTAAGGATCCATCACAGCTTAACTCAGAGCAGGGAAATGGGAAAGAAGGTAAACTGGAAGCTGCTGACAAATCAGATGAAAACAACACAGCAGAAGGGAAAAATAACCAGCAGGTACTAGAGAATACTGAGGTGCTGGGGCAGACGAAACCATCTAATCCGCAGGTGGTAAATGAGGGAGGAGCCAAACCTGAACTTGCAAGTCAAGCCACAGAAGGGTCCAAATCAAATGAAAATGATCTCCCATAGGAGGCCATTTGGTGCTGGAGGTGGGTTTCTCAACTGGGGCTCTATGAGATGTTGCTGAGGTTCCACCTTGAATTGTGACTAAAAACAGTTTTTCATTTGTGTGCTGCATTATGCTGTTCTCACAGTAGTGAACAATGATTGCACAGCCCTGTTAATCGTTTTGTTAGGGATCTTTCAGCCCTTATGGAATTATGTAGAGGCAGACCCATGTGCCACACTATTGCAAAGAGGGGAGAATGGGAGGGGAGGGGGATGCTGGCCTCTCCCAGGCTCCTCTTATGCAGTGCCAGCTGACTTACTGTAGTGAACTGACTGTAAAGTAGAAGATCAGAGGGGAGTTTTCATTCGAAGGAAGGAGTTTTTACATGCCACAGCTCAGCTGTCCCCCTGCCACTTTGTTGTAAACATTGCCAGAATGTGGAACATGTAGGTTAGAAGTGAATTGTTTGGTGAAGTTTTTGTACTTTTGTGATTTTCTTGTTTGGCTACGTCTGTTTTTATATTTTATTAACATTTGTATGTAACAAAGCTGACAGTTCAGTGCTGCAATTTGGGAAGGCAAGATGTGAGAAAGAAGAGAACCATTTTAGGCACAGAGCTACAGACATTTCTGAAAAGGTTGGTGATGAAGAATTTTGGTCTTCTGAGTATACTTCAGTATTCTAGTGCAACAAGGGAGACAAAGAAACTCTGTCTTTATAATGAAAGCTAGTCCTCAAGGGTTTTATATGAACTCAGTCCAAGCTGTCCTATCCCATTGTGCATAGTCTGTGGCATGCAACTTACAAAACTAGAAATTGTAACTATAAGTCACAGTCACTTGACAAGAAAGAATATTCATTATTTTCAAATTGCTTTTGGACTATCAAAACAGTAAGGCTTTTGTTCAAAAATCACATTTAGTCAAAAGGTTTAGGAAGCGAATTATCTAGTAGCAGAACTTATCTCAGGAAAGGAAAATATGCATACTTGATGAGAATCTAATAACATTACAATGCTGGGGCAGGATGCAGTACAAGATTGAAAAGACTTTATTCTCAATAAGTCTGATATCTCAAATGATGCTAAAAAGGTTTTGCATCATTAACTGAAAAGCAGCAGCTTCTCTATCCAGGATGATGAGTCAACAGGTTACACAAATATTTGTCACGCTGTAGCATTTGTAAGATTTGTAAATGATGAAATTCAAAGAAAACTTCTTCTATTTCTAGGCTACCAAAACAAAGGCCAATATATAATGTTGTGACATCCTATTTGGTAACTAGAGGTCTGTTATCTACCCTCCTGGTGCCCCATCAGTGGTTGTCTCCGGAAGTAATTTTGCGTCATTAAAAAAAAAAAAAAAAAAGGAAAGAAATCCTGATGTTGACGTCATAGCACACTGCTTTCTTCAGAGAGATGCTGATATCAAAAAACTGGAAGATACAGTGACGTTCTGAATAATGCTACAAAACTGGTTACCTGTATCAAAGACCCATTTATGCAAAAATGTTAAAAAAATTAAAACACCCAAAACAAAAACCTGGACAAACAGCACATAAACCTCCTGCACCATACAGACATCCAGTGACTTAGCAGAGGGAGTTCTCTACAGGACATTTGAGTTGAAAGGTGAATTGCCAAGTACTTACAAGAAAACAGCCAGCTTTTGCTGAGTGCTTTGGAAATGAAAAATGGCTACAGAAACTAGCCTGTTTAGCAGATGATTTTCATCACATGAACAAATGAACAAGTCTCTGAAAGGTTCTGGGGAAAAAATTTTTTCTTAAAGTGACAAGAGTCTTAGATCTAAAAGGAAACTGATTTGCTACCTTGCCGGGGGATTCTTGAAATGTTTCTGCAGCCACTTGGACTTGAAAATGAAGAGTACAACTCTCAAATCTTTCTAGAACCCACCTGGAGGAACCACAAAACCCAATTAAGTAGTATTTTCTCTCCTTTTCCCAGCACTAGTATATGACTGTATGGGGAACCCCTTCTGCAAACCTGCCCAGCTTGAAATTTTGTCTCCGAAAGAAGAGAATGAACTCAGCTCTTGTCTGACAGTCCTACATTTCTGTGAAATAAGAGTATTCTTCAACTTAGTGCTCACACTCACACACCATAAGGATTCCCTGCAGGGGTTTCCTGAATTTGAAAGTTTTTTCATGGCCTATTTTTTGGGTAAAATAATTGAAAAAGGCAGACACCAACAAAGTCTGCAAAGTAAACTGTCCAGAATAAGAATATTAAGGAGCTGTAAAATTAGCTTGTGGAAATGGGCTTATCCTTAAGTTTTAAAAAGTTAGGAAGCAGTAAAAATGTTAGGCTTCCTGCACAAGTGGCTATGTTTATTTAATGGCTAGTGAACATGGGAATATATTTTTATCCTCGTAGCTAGCAGTTCTGTTTGGTAAACCAGACTAGAATGATTTGAGAGGGGCAAAGAGAATAGGCAGGACCTTCCTTCTATAGCTTTACATATTTAGAATGTTAATTCTTAATGGTGTTGAAGTTACCTTGAAAAGATTGATAAGAGATTTATTAATATTATTTAGGGGAATAGGGAGGATAGAATTTTGGTGCCTTCTTCAGCAGACATACTCCATGACATTCTTTTATTTTGATAGTGCATGACAAAAGGACATGGAAAAAAATTGACCATATGCCTACAGAATATGCAACTCTGTGGAACTAAGTTGTTTTTACTTTGTGAAAGTTGCCACTCTACAGAAAGATTTTGATTTTATAGTTTGTTTTCAGTTGCCTTTTATATTTATTTGTATTTGGTAAGGCTCGGTTGTTATACAAGCTGTTCCTTCCCAGCTACAAAATCCTCTGTTTGGTTGTAACCTGAACTCATTAAAAGACTTGTTTTCAGGTTTATCAACTGTTTATTTTCACTGACATTTGAGCATGTTATTTTATAAATGATGAGATTCCAGGGTAGGAGGTGAGTGCTTTTTAATTCCCCTTTAGTTTTTTCTTCTAAAAATTACGTCAGTTAAAAACAAAAAACAAAAAACAAAAAACCTGCAGTCTTGTGGTTGAGAAAACTTGTTTAGCTCTATAGAGAAAAGAATGTTAAACTTTGTATTTTAAAACATGTTTCTCTAAGGTTAAACATGGTTTTCAAATGTTATTTTTACTTGTACTTTGCTTTTGGTACAGCCAAATATCAACCTTGTTTTTCATAGTTCCTGATATTTTCAGAAAAATAAAAATAAATTTGTTTCCTTAAAAAAAAAAAAAAAAATTAGTTTGCCAATGGTCTAGGAAGCTCTAACCTCATCATTCTATTGGTAGCATAGTCTATTCCTAACCAGACACACATGTGTTAATGGAGCCACAAGGTTTAGGTCTTTCCTAATGGCTTCAATTGGGTGATTTTTATCCAAGCAATCTGCCTCCTCTTTTTAATTCTGTCTTCCCTGTAAGTATTCCTACACTAAAAGGAAAAAATACGTTTTTCATTTTACCAAAAAAAAAATTACCTAAATTAAGGTTTTCATAGTAACAATGTCTTCATAGTTATGGACTACCTTTCCTTCCTTTAAAAAAAAAAGGCAACAAAACATCCACAAAGGTCACTTTCACCCAACATAGAAAACCCTACCTCCCGCCATCCAAAAATGCCACCTTTGAGCTGCCAACAGGATTTCTCACTATTCCTTAGGCATTCCTCCAGATAGTTTTTTCAAAGTCTGACTTAACTCAGCACAATGTAGCCTGAAATTTGTAGAAGTCAGACTCTAGCAAAATATGACTACAAAAAATGGAGATACTAGTTTTAAACTGCATAAATGTATATATAAATAAATCCATCAACTCTCTTAACTGCAGCAGTCTTATCATTAATCAATAATCTATCAGTTGACATAAGTAACCTACATGATATTAATTACATCATTACATAGAATTCATCTGTGTAGAGCAACACTGTCCAAAAGAAATAAAATATGACCTATATGTGCAATGTAAGTTTTCTTGTAACAGCATTCATTAAGTTAAAACAAGTTAAAATTAAATTTAATAATATATTTAACCCAATATATCCAAACTAGTATCATTTCAACATGTGATCAATATTTTTTTTTTTTTTTTTGAGATGGAGTCTGGCTCTGTCGCCCAGGCTGGAGTGCAGTGGCCGGATCTCAGCTCACTGCAAGCTCCGCCTCCCGGGTTTACGCCATTCTCCTGCCTCAGCCTCCCGAGTAGCTGGGACTACAGGCGCCCGCCACCTTGCCCGGCTATTTTTTTTTTTTTTTTTTTTTTTGTATTTTTTTTTTAGTAGAGACGGGGTTTCACCGTGTTCGCCAGGATGGTCTCGATCTCCTGACCTCGTGATCCGCCCGTCTCGGCCTCCCAAAGTGCTGGGATTACAGGCTTGAGCCACCGCGCCCGGCCTCCATGTGATCAATATTTTAAAATTATTGCCAGGTGCAGTGGCTCACACCTGTAATTCCAGCACTTTGGGAGGCTGAGGCAGGTGGATCACTTGAGGTCAGGAGTTTGTACCAGCCTGGGCAACATAGGGAAACCCCATCTCTACTAAAAATACAAAAATTAGCCAGGCATGGTGGCACGTGCCTGTAGTTCCAGCTACTCGGGAGACTGAGGCAGGAGAATTGCTTAAACCCACGAGGAGGAGGTTGCAGTGAGCCGACATTGTGTCACTGCACTCTAGCCTGGATGACAGAACAAGACTGTCTCAAAAACAAAACAAAGCAAAAATCATCAAGGTATTTTTGTACTCTTCTTTACAAAATCCATAGTGTATCTTAGACTTCCTGCACATCTCATTACATTCTAGATACAATTCCAGGGCACAGTAGCTCCAGGTGGGGTGGACAGTGCAGGTCTAGAGGGTGCTGGATTAAAGGGTTGGACAAACACTGCGTGAACACTACCAGTTCTCCCAGTCTTCAATGTGCCCATAGATGTCAGAAGATTAAATTAGTCTCTTATATCCACTTACATTTGTCTCTTCAGAGAATTTGACAACTAGTGTGTAAAGTTTAAATTGCTTTTAAGTTGGTATTAGTTGCACCATGTTAAGAAAATAAAATCAGTGTTGATTTGCTGTATTCTTCTCCTATTGCTACTATAACAAATTATCACAAATTTATTGGCTTAAAACAACACATATTTATTATCTTACAGTTCAGGAGATCAGAAGTCTAAAACGGGTTGGCATGGTTGTGTTCCTTCCGGAGGCTCTTGGGGGAATCCATTTCCTTGCCTTTTCCAGCTTCTAGAGGTGGCCTGCATTCCTTGGCTCAGGGCCCCTTCGTTCATCTTCAAAACAAAACCAGCAGCATATCATCCTCAAATCTCTCTGTCTCTTTCTCTCTCCTCTGCTCAAACATCATATCTCCTACTCTTATTTCTGACTTTCTTCCTCCCTCATAGGAGGAGCCTTCTGATGACATTGAACCCACCTGGTTAATCCAGGATAATCTCCCCACATCAAGATCCTTAACTTAATCATGTGTACAAACTCCCTTTTGCCATGTAAGGTATCATATTTACAGATTCTGGGGATTAGGATGTGAATATCTTTGGAGGACCACGGCAGACAGAATTGTCTACCACAATGAAATAGGCTCATATGCTCAACTCAGATCTACAGGTGAGATTTTGTCTCAACACATCTAGTTATGACATAGCTATGGCAAAAACTAGCTATGCCCTAGATCAGTGGTCTCCAGCCTTTTTAGCATCAAGGACCAATTTTGTGAAAGACAAGTTTTTCCATGGCCAGCAGGCAGAGGGGATAGTTTCAGGATAAAACTGTTCCACCTCAAATCATCAGGCATTAATTAGAGTCTCATAAGAAGCACACCACCTAGATCCCTCGCACGTGCAGTTCACCATAGGACTCTTATGAGAGTCTAATGCCGCCGCCGATCTCACTAATGCTCATTTACTTGCCACTCACTTCCTGCTGTGCAGCCCAGTTACGAACAGGCCACAGATGAATACCGGTCCATGGTCCAGGGGTTCGGGACCTCTGTCCTGGGTGACTATTTGTTCCAAGCAGTATTTCATAAAAGTAAAAATGTAGTGTAATAAATATTAGACACATGCTTGGCTTTAATAAGTGAATGTGGTGGTTTCTAGAATTTAAATATATATGCTTAGGGAAAGGCAAGATAGTAGGTACATGAGTTGAATCTGGAAAGAAAGACTCTTTAGCTGTGTAGTACCTATTTTTTAAGCCGTTGTTCCAAATTTGCCAGGAAAAATCTTCACCTTCACACTCAAGTAATTAGTACCACATTTAGCACGGAGTATGCTTTGTCACAAGGATATGATAAAATTCTTTTACAAGAATTTACTCTTTGCTAAATACATGTGATGAAGTAAAAAAAATCTTAAATCAACAAATATTTAATAAGAATATTATGAGGAAGGCACAGTGCCCAGTACAAAATATACCATAACTTAAACTATAAATTTAACTTTCTTAAGAATAACGACTACTTTAAAAATTTTCCTTCCTTAGCAAGTCAGTGCAAGCAAACTGTTCATGGATTCCACTGGAATATTGCCCTTTAATACTTTCTCTTCAATTTAATCTTATTTGGAGGTTCTATTTACACACTGAAAGAGAAAATTGAGGCAACAATTCCAATTTTAAAACATGTGTTCCTGAACTGCCTGGATCAACATCCGAGTTTGCACCATCCCTGTGTGCTCAGGCTCCAAGTCTCTTGTCCTTGGGGGATGGACAGATACACCCTGACTTGTGATGGGGTTATGTCGCAATAAACTAATCATAAATTGAAAATATCTTAAGTTTAAAATGCATTTAATACACCGAATCTACAGAATATCGTGGCTTAGCCTAACCTTCTTGAAACATGCTCAGAATACTTACATCAGCCTACAGATGGGCAACACTACCTAACACAAAGCCTATTTTATAAGGTGTGGAATATCTCATGCAATTTTTTGAATACTATACTGAAAGTAAAAACCAGGATGACTGTATGGGCACTCCAATTAGAGTTTCTACTGAATGCTTTTCACTTTTGCACCATCATAAAGTCAAAAAAGCATAAGCCGAACCATTGTTAGGTTGGGGGCCAATTCCAATCCTCAGCTCATGCTGCAATAACAAAATACCATAGACTGAGTGGCTCAACAACAGACATTTATTTCCACAGTTATGGAGGCCAGAAGTCTTCATGCACCAGCATGGTTGGAGCTAGATCCCTCTTTCCGGCTTGCAGATGGCCGCCTTCTCCCTGTGTCCTCACAATGGCAGAAAAAGAGACACACAGCAAGCTCTCTGGTGCCACTTCTTTTAACAGTACTAATCCCATCGTAAGGCCATGGCCTCATGACCTCATCTAAACTTAATTATCTCCCAAAGACCCCATCTCCAAATACCATGACATTGGGGGTTAAGGCTTCAAAATACGAATTTTACAGGGACGTAATTCAGTCCATAGCATGGAATATGCAGGACCTGGGCAAAAAAGGGCCTCAGGGTGATGGACCTATTCTGGCAAACTGGATCAGACTCAGCCCTATAGTTATCCTCCAGCGTTCCTGGTGGAGGATGTTCTTCCAGACACCCCAGGCTGTGGGGAGAAGAGTAAATGTGATGACTGCTGAAAGCTCATTTCTCAGGTTCTCTAAATATGGGTTCAATGTGCAACCCTCAAAGGGAATTTTCTACCCAAAACTATAGCTTTGCAGCTAAACAATTATATTCTTGAAATGATGTCTAGGGAGACTGAGTTTTCTTAAATAACAAATCTAAGGAGAAACCAAATGCCTAGCTAGCAAGACAGCTTTCTTGCCTAATTTTACTTTTTAAAATATTTTTTACTTTTCTTGAAATAGAAATAAATAGGGTGAAGTTCTATAAGCCAGGGAAAAGATTCACTTACCGATTCTTGAACTAAAATATTACTGTGCTGAAAAGAGAAGTAGATGATGAGTATATATACGACAATCACTTTCATGAAAACTCAGTTCTAGAAAGACACTAAATTTCGTTTATTGTTTGTCTAAAGAGAAAGTGCATGCATAGTAATTAACGGACAAGATGGTCAAAAAGTAACTGTTCTAGTGCTTTATTCTGGATAAATGCAGTGTAATTATGATTCTTGTGAATTTCAGTAAAGCATGATTTAATACTACAGCAAGGGTGCCATTAAAGTGTGGGTATTAACTTTCCAATAATTTCTAGAAATTGAAATGGAATGTGTTTGGCAATAACATGACATTTTGACACCAATGAAAATATTTTATGTAGTTATGTAAGTGATAAAAATAAATGCTTTATAAAAACTTATCCAGAAGGACTTATAACTAGGAAAAACAATCATAATTAACAAGATTTTGTGAAGCGTGCAGCAGCCAAAGACAACTTTTAGACCAGCTGAAGGTGATGAGGTCATTTCTGGTCCTAAGTTCATAGAATGTGACCACCTGTAGAGATTTTTTTAACGCACTTAAAGGAATTAATTTTCCAAATATGGAGAAACTGAGAGTCTCCATCTTTTACGTGACTTTCTATTGTGCCAATGTAATGGAATCAAATACACACTTCAGCTTTTTAAGCAGCTGTTCCTATGGTGCAGGAGTAAATGTGTAAACTCTACCAGTACCAGCTGGAAAAAAAGAACATGAATCTATTATTTCCGAATGTATTATGAAACCTAGATTTTGTTTCCAGGATAGAATGTGTCCAAAGCAACCAAATTAAGAGGAGGATTGTGAAATTATCCAGTGGATAAGGAACCATCTTGACATTTCGACTGGCTGATACAAACAAAGCTATATGGGCAGGTGACCCTGACTCCTGTTGCATTAACTGTGCAGAGTCCACCACAATACTGAAGAGATTCATTTTACTATTTTTAACTGAGATCATTACAGCACAAGACTCTTAACCACAGTACCATCACAAGTACAAGAAGCAATTTTATCAAGTATATGTCTTTTTCAAAATGAACATTACTGATCTCTAAATTCATAATGTTTACTGAGTATCTCTAAGTCAAATGATAACTATGATGATAGTAATAATAATAGAAGATATTTCACTAAAACATGCATATCTTTTGACTCTACCTTTAAATATAATTTTAATAAAATTCTATTTGTAAGTATTACCAAATAAGGACAAAAAGGTTTTAGTGTATGATGGTGTTTTTCAAAATAAAATTTATCTTTTAGACAAGTTTTAGGTTCACAGCAAAATTGAGTACAAAGTACAGAGAGTTCCCGTCTATACCCTGCACCCCCTGACACACACACGTAGACAACTATCAGTCTCCTGCAAGAAAGTGGTACATTTGTTACAATCAACAAACCTACATTTATACATGTTTATCATCCAAAATCCATAGCTTCCTAGAGTTTATTCTTGATGTTGTATATTCTATGGCTTTGGACATGTATCCACCATTATAGTATCATAAACAATAGTTTCACTGTTGTAAAAAATCCTCCATGTTCTATCTACTTATCTCTCATTCCTCCTCAACCCCAGGCAAGTACGGTTCTTTTTACTATCTGTATAGTTTTGCATTTTCCAGAATGTCATATAGTTATAATCATACAGTATATAGCCTTTTAAGATTGGCTTCTTTCACTTAGCAATATGCACTTAAGTTTTCCTCATGTCTTTTCGTGGCTTCATTTTAGTTTTGAATAATCTTCTGTTTTCTGGATGTACCACAATTTATTTACCCATTCACCCAGAGAAAGACATCGTGATTGCTTCTAAATTTTGGCAATTATGAACAAAGCTGTTATAAATATCAGTGTGCAGGTTTTTGTGTAGACACAGGTTTTCAACTCATTTGAGTAAATACCAAAGAGCACTATTGTTGGAGTGTATGGTAAAAGTACGTTTAGATTTTGTAAGAAATTGCCCAGCTGTCTTCCAAAGTAGCTGTACCATTTTGCATTCCCATCAGCAATGAATGAGAGTTCCTATTGTTGCACATTCTCATCAGCATTTGTTGTCAGTGTTTTAGATTTTGGCCAGTATAATAAGTGTGTAACAATATCTCATTGTGGCATTAATTTGCAATTTCCTAATGCCATATCATTTTCAGGATCCTTACACATGCATATTTGCCATCCACATATATTCTTTGGTGAGGTGTCTGTCCAGGTCCTTTGTCTATTTTTTAGTGGGGTTGTTCCTTTGGTCTTTTGCCTGTTTTTTAGTGGGGTTGTTCCTTTTCTTATTGTTGAGTTCTAATACTTTGCGTATTTCGGATAGCTGTCCTTTATCAGACATGTCTTTTGCAAATATTTTATCCTACTCTATGTCATAGTGTTTTAAGTGTTGGTCAACCTTGAGCCTTTATAGAAACAAAAAACAATTTGAACAAATTACATGGTTGTAAAGCTTTAGAACCATTCTTGAAGATGAATTTAAAATGATCTATCAGCTGGGTGCAATGGCTCAAGCCTGTAATGCTAGCACTTTTGGAGGCCAAGACGGGAGAATTGCATGAGCCCAGGAGTTTGAAATCAGCCTGGGCAACATAGGCAGACTCAATCTCTACAAAAAATTTAAAAAATTAACCAGGTGCAGTGGCACATGCCAGTAGTCCCAGCTACTTGGGAGGCTGAGATGGGAGGATCGCTTGAGCCCAGGAGGTCAAGGCTGGAGTGAGCCATGATGGCATCACTGCACTCTGGCCTAGGTGACAGAATGAGATCCCGTCTCAGAAGAAAAAATAGAAATAATGAAAAAAATTATCTATCTTAGATTATTATTTCAGTAACTACTGTGAAAGTTGTCAGAATCAAAATGGAGTCACTAATGTTAAACATACACACACACACACACACACACACACACACACAAACCTGACATACCAAAACCAGACAAGAACACAATAAAAAAAAGAAAACTACAGGCCAATATCCTTGATGAACATAGATGCAAAAATCCTCAATGGAATATTAGCAAACTGAATGCAACAACACATTACAAAGGTCATTTACCATGATCAAGTGGGATTCATCTCGGGGATACAAGGATGGTTCAGCATGTACAAATCAATAACAAGTGTGATACATCATGTCAACAGAACCAAGAACAAAAGGCATGTAATCATTTCAATAGATGCTGAAAAAGCATTCAATAAAATTCAACGTTCCCTTATGATAAAAAATGCTCAACACGTTGTGGGTAAAAATACACACAAACTGGGTATATATGACAAACCCACAGCTAACATCATACTCAACGAGAAAAAGCTGAAAGCCTTTCCTTTAAGAAGTAGAACAAGCCCCCTCACTCACCACCAACAGCCCGTGTCAGCGTGCGCAAGCCCTGCCACCACCCTGCAGAAATGCTTCAATTACCTGCAGTCTTTCGTCAGATGAGACCAGTGCCGAGGGTCCTGGCTCCTCATCTCACTCGGGTTTATGCCAAAAATGTAAAATTTTTGGTGCAGATGCCTGAGTCTTAATGCTTCAAGGTGTAGACCTTTTACCCACTGCTGTAGCCAATACAATGGGGCCAAAGGGAAAAACAGTGATTATTGAGCAGAACTGGGGAAGTCCCAAAGTAACAAAAGATGGTATGACTGTTGCAAAGTCCATTGACTTAAAGGATAAATATGAAAATATCGGAGCTAAACTTGTTCAAGATGTTGCCAATAACACAAATGAAGAGGCTGGGGATGGCACTACCACTGCTACTGTTGCCATGGAAGGCTTCAAAAAGTTTAGCAAAGGTGCTAATCCAGTGGAAATCAAGAGAAGTGTGATGTTAGCTGTTGATGCTGTAATTGCTGAACTTAAAAAGCAGTCTAAATCTGTGACCACCCCTGAAGAAATTGCTCAGGTTGCTACCATGTCTGCAAATGGAGACAAAGAAATTGGCAACCTAATTTCTGATGCAATGAAAACAGTCAAAAGAAAGGGTTTCATCACAGTAAAGATGGAAAAACACTGCCGATGAATTAGAAATTATTGAAGGCACGAGGCCAGGTGCGGTGGCTCACGCCTGTAATCCCAGCACTTTGGGAGGCGGAGGCTGGCACATCACGAGGTCAGGAGATTGAGACCATCCTGGCTAACACGGTGAAACCCCGTCTCTACTAAAAATACAAAAAATTAGCTGGGTGTGGTGGCATGCGCCTGTAGTCCCAGCTACTTGGGAGGCTGAGGCAGGAGAATCACTTGAACCCAGGAGGCAGAGGTTGCAGTGAGCTGAGATTGTGCCACTGCACTCCAACGTGGGTGACAGAGTGAGACTCCATCTAAAAAAAAAAGAAAAAAGAAATTATTGAAGGCATGAAAGTTTGAGGATATATTTCTCCACACTTTATTAATACATCAAAAGGTCAGAAATGTGAATTCCAGGATGTTTATGTTCTATTGAGTGAAAAGAAAATTTGTGGTGTCCAGCCCATTGTACCTGCTCTTGAAATTGCCCATGCTCACCCTAAGCCTTTGGTCATAATTGCTGAAAATGTTGATGGAGAAACTCTAAGTACACTCATTTTGAATAGGCTAAAAGTTGGTCTTCAGGTTGTAGCAGTCAAAGCTCCAAGGTTTGGTGACAGTAGAAAGAACCAGCTTAACGGTATAACTATTGCTACTGGTGGTGCAGTGTTTGAAGAAGAGGAGTTGACCTTAAATCTCGAAGATGTTCAGCCTCATGACTTAGGAGAAGTTGGAGGGGTCACTGTGATCAAAGATGATGCTATGTTCTTAAAAGGAAAAGGTGACAAGGCTCAAATTGAAAAACAAATTCAAGGAATTATTGAGCAATTTGATGTCACAACTAGTGAATATGAAAAGGAAAAATTGAACGGCTGACAAAACTTTCAGATAGAGTAGCTGTGCTGACGGTTAGTGGGACAAGTGATGTTGAAGTGAATGAAAAGAAAGACAGAGTTACAGATGCCCTTAATGCTACAAGAGCTGTTGTGGAAGAAGGCATTGTTCTGGGAGGGGGTTGTACCCTACTTTGTGCATTGGTGCCTTGGACTCATTGACTCCAGCTAATGAAGATCAAAAAATTGGTACAGAAATTATTAAGAGAACACTAAAAATTCCTGAAATGACCATTGCTAAAAATGCAGGTGTTGAAGGATCTTTGATAGTTGAGAAAATTATATAGTTCCTCAGAAGTTGGTTATGATGCCATGGTCAGAGATTTTGTGAATATGGTGGAAAAAGGAATTATTGAGCCAACAAAGATTGTGAGAAGTGCTTTATTGGATGCTGCTGGGGTGGCCTCTCTGTTAACTACAGCAGAAGTTGTAGTCACAGAAATTCCTAAAAAAAGAGAAGCACTGTGTAATGGGTGCAATGGGTAGAATGGGAGGTGTTATGGGAGATGGCAAGTTCTAATTATTAGAATAGTGCTTTACTTTAATTAATGAACTATGGCAGGAAGTCCAAGGCAGTGTTCCTCACCAATAACTTCAGAGAAGCTGGAGAAAATGACTGAAGAAAAGGCTAGCTGATGTTCAGGAAATCACTATAACGATCAGTTACTGGTTTCAAGTGACAAATATATAATGTTTGACTGCTGTCATTGTCTATGCCTACAGATAATTTATTTGTATTTTCGGATAAAAAGACATTTGTGTATTCCTAATACTGGGTGCAAAAGCCATGTACCAATGTACTGCTTTCAACTTAAATCACTGAGGCATTTTTAATACTATTCTGTTAAAATCAGGATTTTAGGGCTTGCCACCACCAGAGGAGAATTTAAGCAGCCTTTCTGTGGAGAGTGAGAATAATTGTGTACAAAGTAGAGAAATATCCAATTATGTGACAACCTTAGTGTAATAAAAATTTGTTTAAAGTTAAAAAAAAAAAAAAAAAGAACTGGAACAAGACAAAGATGTCCGTACTCACCATTCCTATTCAACACAGTACTGGAATTCCTAGCCAGTACAATTAGAAAAGAGAAATAAATTAAGGGCATCCAAATCAGAAAGGAAGAAGTCAAATTATCCTTGTTCACAAACAACATGAGTGTATAATTAGAAAACCCTAAAGACTCCACAAAAAAATGTTGGAACTGATAAATGAATTCAGTTGGAACCGAAAAATGAATTCTAAGTAAAGTTGTAGGATACAAAATAATCATACAAAAATCAATAGTATTTATATACACTAATAGCACATGCTCTGAAAAAGAAATCAAGAAGGCAAACCCATTTACAATAGTTACCAAAAAGAAAACCTAGACATAAATGTAGCCAAGGAGGTAAAATGAAAACTACAAAACACTGATGAAAGAAATTGAAGAGGACATTTTAAAAATGGAAAGGTTCATGACCAGCCTGGCCAACACAGTGAAACTGTGTCTCTACTAAAAAAAAAGGACAAAATGCTTGAACCTGGGAGGCAGAGGTTGCAGTGAGCTGAGATTCCACCATTGCACTCTAGCCTGGCTGACAGAGTGAGACTCCATATAAAAAAAAAAAAAAGGAAAGATAGTGTATGCTCATGGATTAGAATTAATATTGTCAAAATGTCAGTACTACCCAGAGCAATCTACAGATTTAATGAAATTCCTATCAAAATACCTATGACATTCTTCACAGAAATAGAAAAAACAGTCCCAAAATTTACATGAAACCACAAAAGACTCTGAATAGCCAAAGGAATCCTGAGCAAAATGAACAAAGCTGGAGGCATCACACTACATGACTTCAAAACACATCATAAACCAATGGTAACCAAAGTAGCATGGTACTTGGGGAAAAATAGACACATGAGACTAGGTGCAGTGGCTCATGACTGTATTCTCAGCACTTTGGGAGGCTGAGGTGGGAAGATCACTTGAGGCCAGGAGTTTGAGACCAGCCTTAGCAACATACTGAGACCCTATGTCTACAAAAAAGAAAAAAAAATAGCTGGGCATGGTGGCGTGCACTAGTTGTCCCTAGCTGCTCAGGAGGCTGAGGCTGGAGGACTGCTTGAGCCTAGGAGTTAAAGGCTGCAATAAGCTATGATCATGCCACTGCACTCTAGCGTGGGTGACAGGGTGTGATCCTGTCAGAAAGAAAAAAAGACAGACAGAGAGAGAGAGAGAGAGAGAGATGAGGGAAGGAAGGAAGGAAGGAAGGAAGGAAGGAAGGAAGGAAGGACAGACACATAGAACAATGCAACAGAATAGAGAACCCAGAAATAAATCCATATATTCACAACCAACTCATTTCTACAAAGGTGTCAAGAACAAACACTGGGAAAAAGACAGTCTCTTCAACAAACGGTGCTGAAAAACTACATAACCCTATGCAGAAGAATGAAACTAGACCCCTATCTCTAAGCATATAGAAAAAGTAAATCAAAATGGATCAACGACTTAAATCCAAAACCTTAAACTATAAAACTACTAGAAGAAAACAATGGGGAAATGCTCCAGGACATCAGTCTGGGCAAAAGTTCTTGAGTAAGATCTCAAAAGCACAGGCTACAAAAGCAAAAATAGACAAATAGGATTACATCAAGTGAAAAAGCCTTTGCACAGCAGTGACAATCAACAAAGAGAAGAGACAGCCCATCTACTGGGAGAAATTATTTGCAAATTATCTAACTGACAAGGAATTAATTACCAGAATATATGAGGAGCTCAAACAACTTGACAGCAGAAAAACAAATAATCCAATTAAAAATGAGAAAAATATCTGAGTAGATATTTTTCAAAAGAAGACAGACAAATGGCCAACAGATATAAAATAAAACGCTCAACATCACTAATAATGGAAAAAATGCAAATCAAAACCACAATGAGATATCCTCTCACCCTAGTTAAAATGGTTTTTATTAAAAAGACAAAGAGGCCGGGTGTTGTGGCTGAAGCCTGTAATCCCAGCATGTTGGGAGGCTGAGGTGGGTGGATCACCTAAGGTCAGGAGTTTGAAACCAGCATGGCTAACATGATGAAACCCCGTCTCTACTAAATATACAAAAATTAGCTGGGCATAGTGGTGGGCGCCTGTAATCCCATCTACTCTGGAGGCTGAGGTAGGAGAATCGCTTGAACCTGGGAGGCGGAGGTTGCAGTGAGCCGAGGTTGTGCCACTGTACTCCTGGCTGGGTGACAGAGTGAGACTCCACCTCAAAAAAAAAAAAAAAAAAGAAAAGAAAAGAAAAAAAAGACAAAGAATAATGAGTGCTGGCAAGGATGTGGAGAAAGGGGAACCCTCATACACTGTTGGTGGGAATGTAAATTAGTACAGTCACTATGGAGAACAGTTTAGAAGTTCCTCAAAACTAAAAATAGAGCTACCATAGAAGACAGCAATCCCACTACTGGGTATATACCAAAAAAACCAATATATCAAAGAAATATCTGTGCTCACATGTTTATTGTAGCATTATTCATGATAGCCAAAATATGGAATCAACCTAAGTACCTATCAATGCATGAAGAAACTGTGGTATATATACACAATAGAATATTATTCAGCCACAAAAAAGAATGAAATCCTGTCATTTGCAGCAACATGGGCAGAACTGGGGGTCACTATGTTATGTGAAATAAACCAGGCACAGAAAGACACATACTGCATGTTCTCATTCATATGTGGGAGCTAAAAAAGTGGATCTCATGGAGGTAGAGAGGAGAAGAATGGTTACCAGAGACTGAGAAGGATGGGGGAAGAGGAAATAAAGAGAGGTTGACTAATGGGCACAAAAATATAGTTAGACAGAAGATACAATACATAGTGTTTGGTAAGTCAGTAAGGTTGTTAGGGAAGCAGGAGCCCAGGAGAGCCAGGATGACACCAATTTAAGTTCCACTTTATTTTGAGACTAACCAGGCACATTCCTTGCCAGCCATGACCCATGGTCATAAGATGTTTACAGTTGAGGAAAACCTACAAGGACGCACTCCTACGACAGCAGAAAGTCTAGATGTCCCAATACTCATAACAATATATGGTTTCAAAATAATTATAGTTATGCTTTACTTACACACTAAAATGTCAAGAATCATTTTCCTTAAATCAACAGTATAATAAATTTTGTCATGCTGTCTGCTCACCCACACGTAGGCACAGCTTAGTTTGGCCTTTACATAGACAAGACCCCTACATAAGAATAACTTAAAGACAGTACATTCCTCTGCTTGCTTTCTGAGGATGCCCTACTCTATAATGAAGTAGCTTTCAATAAACTGTATCTTCTCACCGTACAACCTTAGACTGGTGCTACATTTGTTATTGATTTTCGTAGCTAAGGATAATCATTTCAAAACATTTACATAATCCTCCTCATTTTTACTTTAAAAACTTTTATTCTTTCTTTCTCTCCCTGAATACATACAGTTTACTGTGGTATGCAAATTCACGTAGCAATGCTCTATTCCCAAATAAGCATTGTTTTCTTTTAGAGAGCCTAGAAACTTTCTGTTTGTTATTTATGTTAACAACACAAACCAACTTGAAATTAACTGGACTCCCTACAGAATCCTGATATATCTAAGAAAGACGTGGAATCTAGTCAAGGTCGGTACTAACCCTGAATATCGTGAAGAGAGCTGCAACTCATAGTTTCTATTAAAATGCAAAGCAGGTTCTAAATGTTTCTTACTAGACAAAAAAGGAGGGATATTCTCTTTCACACTGAAAGAGGCTTGGACCAAAGCCTTCTTAAAAGCAGAAATATCCCTTATTATGTTATGTTATTATGTTATTAGACTCTATTACCTCTAAGAAACATTAAGTCTCACTAGAAAGATGAAAGTAAAATGACTGACTGAGCACATGCTCCTACCATCATAGCACCAAAAACCACAAGCAAGCATGGAACCAAATGACCTCAAAATAATTCATTTGAAACATCTCTTCAATAAGAAGTCATGACTGTAACATACTAGAAAATGCAGGGAATCCACATGTACCAGAGAGGGTTCCATTGCATACAATAGAATCTACGCTAGTTAGTTTAATCTAAAGGGAATTTATTACAGCAGAGGTTCCCCAACTCCAAGGCCATGGACTGGTACCTCCTGTCAGATCAGCAGCGGCATTAGATTCTCATAGAAGCGCAAACCCCATTGTGAACTGCACAGGTGAGGGATCTAGGTTGTGCACTCCTTATGAGAAACTCATGCCTGATGATCTGTCACTCAAATCACTCCCTAATGGGATCCTCTAGTTGCAGGAAAACAAGCTCTGGGCTCCCACTGATTCTACATTATGGTGAGGGTATAATTATTTCATTATATATTACAATGTAATAAATGAGGTGCACAATGAATGTAATATGGCTGGGCGCGGTGGCTCACACCTGTAATCCCAGCACTTTGGGAGGCCGAGGCAGGTGGATCACTTGAGGTCAGGAGTTCGAGACCAGCCCGGCCAACGTAGTGAAATCCCACCTCTACTAAAAACACAAAAATTTGCCAGGCATGGTGGTGCGTGCCTGTAGTCTCAGCTACTAGGGAGGCTGAGGCAGGAGAATCGCTTGAACTGGGAGGCAGATGTTGCAGTGAGCTGAGATCACGCCACTGCACTCCAGCCTGGATGACAAAGCGAGACTCCATCTCAAAAATAAATAATAAATAAATAAATAAGTAAAATTAATTAAATAAATGTAATGGGCTTGAATCATCACAAAATCAACCCCCCTCCCCACGGTCTGTGGAAAAACTGTCTTCCACAAACCAGTCCCTGATGCCAAAAAGGTTGGGGGCCGCTATATTACAGCAAAGCCAAAGGGTCTCACAATCACTGAGAGGTCTAAAGAAGACCTACTTTGGGCTATACTTTCAAGAACATCTCCTAAAGCCACGCTGCAGAACTGAGCTTCTGGCCCTGCCACAGTCTGGAAACTGTGGAATCAGGAATCAGCTGCTG